GACACCCTGTATATTTACATGAAAAATTTAACAGATGGCCAACATGTCTATATATATTTAAATTTATCTTTTTATTAGCTACTATATTACAATAATGAAAATATCCCATCTTATTAAAAAAAAAAAACAAAAAAAAACATTGATGACCGTGAAGTTTCGGAAAATCTGACTTTGAGATACTTTTTGCGCAGATACCTACAATGTTACAGTTATTGTCGTATAACTATGCACTTTAATAAAGAAAGAAAGAAATAGTGCATCTTGTGGGGGAAGACACGGGTAATGCAGCGAAGTGGCATTACTGGCAAAAATGGGCCTAAAAAAGGGTACGGGATTTTTCGTTTTTCATCTCATTTTAATCAGGGGCTAGGACACCCTGTAGATAGATAATAAGTTGTTACAAGTAAAAATGTTGCGAATTACGTCGTGTTTGGTCTCAATTTAATCAAAAAAATGTCAGGAATATGATGGTAAAAGTTTTACAACAAAAAAAGTTAATAATAACAAAGTTTCACCGTTGCGTTACATTGTCTCACCGACATACCCTGGTGTTTTCGCTCCGTCCTTTTCTTTATTCGCTGTCTCTTCTGTACGTTCGAAGCTCGTTAGCAAACATCAGAGAATGTACGATCGTCTAAACCAGGGGTGGCCAATCCAAATGATTTCGCGGGGCACTTTCGAAATGCATCATAACTCCGCGGCCGCATATAAAATTATGAATCAACATATTAGATTTAGACCCATTCTAGACATTTTTTTTGCTCTTTAGCTCTTCAGCTTTATTCGACACGTAATCGACGGGGCGCGATCGGGCTCCTTGGCATTTTTCGACCGTGTTTTGTGAAAACTTTCTGGTACGCAGTATTATTTTAAAATCAAAGTTAATATTTTCTCATAATTTCGACAGTTAATTTATGAATATATGGGATACAAAATTAATGTACATTATAAAATAAATATACACTGACCCGCGATACTTAGGGGACAGTTCTTCAAAACGTCATAACTATGGGAGTTTTCAATCGATTTTCGTGAAACTTCGTCAGAAGTAGTTTTGAAGTGTCCTCTGGGTATGTGCAAAGTTCCATTGGCGAGAGTTGATGTGAAGGGGTTAATTCATCCCCCTAAAAGGGAGGGTGTAGAAAAACGCCTCTGGAAAAGGCCAGGGGTGACGGGAGGGGTTGAAAAATTTAAGAAAACCTTTGGGGCGACTCTCCTTGATGCCCTCTACAAAATGCACTCCTTGAAATCCCTCTCGGACAACCCCCCCCTCCCCTAAAATCCACAATTTTTGGACGACGGTCTCGATTTTGGGCTCAATGCACTCTCTGGACTCCTCTGATCCAGAAAATGCCAAGGCCCACGCAGTACACCCCATAGGCACCCCTTGGGGGGGCGGGGGCGGAATAGGTCACTACTTTCCAACCCCCTCCGTGAAAGGGCACTTCCACACATCAGAGGGTGATGAAATTCACCAGATTTGTTGTTCGTAGACTAAGGATCAATGCCGAAAAGATCATTTCACGAAAATCGGTTGAAAACTCCCATAGTCACGACGTTTTGAAGAACTGTCCCCTAAGTATCGCGGGTCAGTGTATTTTGTAAAAGTGTGATGAATCTCGCGGGCCGCAAAAACGTTCAAGGCGGGCCGCGGGTTAGCCACCCCTGATATAAACAATGCTTGGCGATCGAACTCCTCGACCCCCCAATGGGTATATACCACCTCCCCCCCCCCCCCAAGTGACGGGGATGATTTCTGTGCAGTTATCGTAGACAAAATTGTGCAGTTATGGAGACATTACTGTACTTTTTTCAGAATTAATACATATTCCAAATAATCACGCTATACTAATTAACTTTGTCTTTGTTTTCAGTACATATAAGAATACGGAGGACACGCAGTATGTTCATCCCAGTGCTCTGAATCATCATCCAGTATTAACTTTCCATCGTGATCCGTACGTTTTGTCGAACGCAACGCCAAGTCTTCCAGATATTGTAATAAATGGGGTGCTTTTGGGCATGTACTCGTGAACAACAACCAAGTTATATGTGACTGTGATATTCTTCACGACAGTCGTCGAGGGAAAGCATCTTTCACGGAGAGGTTCAACGAACGGAACATATTCGAATAAGAATTTCAACCTTGACATGGATTTTACTCGTACTCCGCTATTTCGACAAAGATAAAACGATGGGTGTGCACCGATAAATGTACATAGAAGAAGCAAATGCTTCCATTTCTAATACTTCATTTATCAATATACACGATGACGCATCTTTTTCTAATATATGATTATCTCTCGATGGCTGCGTGAATTAGATGCAAACTTTGTTACTCACTTAAACTTTTTATTAATCTGTACTTGTTTTTTTTTCATTTTTCACCGTATAGTTTTTATGTAATGGTATGTCTCATGAAATATAGTGTATTTTGACCACTTTGCTTCCTGGATATTTCTAAACCGTCTATCGAATCTAAAATTATAACTGATTTTATATCTTTGTGATGCACTTTTTGAGTATAAATGTATCGAACAATTATGACGTCAGAAGACGCGTACATTGTTGTATCCAAAACATTGCTAAAGGAATACAATTGATTTCAAGACAATGGTAAAAAAAGAACATACATCGTCATACTTGACATCAGGTTATGCTGTAGTTATCAGTTGATAAATCGAGGTTTTGAAATGCACAATATTTCCTGAGATACCCAAATAAAATATTTGTCAACTACGTGAACTCTGCAATAAGCCTTTTAATGACTACAGCTTATCACTACAAATATTCAGTAATAACACAAATTACACAAATTTCTTTCGTGCTGTATATTTTAAATATGGAAAGTTTTGATGAAAATCGTGGCTAGCCTCTATCGACGATAAATTAATTTCTTTACGAATATATAAAGTACTTTATTCCTGCGATAAAATAATGAATTAGTATAGGACCAAAAAAGTCGACTAAAGTAAAATGAAAGTAGCTTCGGGAGTTCACGGCTCGCCCATCACTGCCATCGCAGAGTACTAACGAGAGATACAAGCTCGAGTGGAAAAACCGAATTTACGTGTGCCACGATATCGCGTATGTAACATAATTAGATACGATCCGAAATGAACTGTACACAACCATGTAACCATGACACGCCAGAAAATATACCTTGTTATATTTGAATCATCGTCTCGTTTATTTCATCTCATTATTCTCAGTTTACATTACTTGTGACATTCATCTTAATCTATTAACATTATCGTATTGGATATCTGGACTGTAAATGTAAATGTAACTCATAAGCGGATCTCTTGCAGTATAATTCACATTAATTTGTTTACTACCGTTTAGATCAGACATCTCGGACGTTTCGATAACTGCGTTTACGAAACCGTTAAGTTTCAAACGTGCATTGCGTTCTTCGTGCAAGATGGTTTGGCCCTCGAGCAAAGATTAACGTCGAACGATCAATCATTTTTTTTTTCATTATCCTTCGCTTGGATTATAGGCGATCACGTGAATGGATGATTTAGTGGGGTTAAGGATTTTATCTAGCGCCTCTCGTTTATTATAGCCGCAAGATTAGCCTGACTTTGACTTGTTCAGACCTGGGCAAAATTTTTTTCAAATAACTCACAACAAATAAAACCAACGTATGGCGTTAAACGAGTATTCATTGTGAAATACTTCATTTTATGTAATTTAAATTTGAATTTTCACTTAAAAGAGTAACGGATGAACGCTTGTTTATCTTTCATTCGTTATTTGCAATATGAGTTTACATTAAAATTTTACCCATCTCTGCTACTCATTTTCTACAATCTTAATCTGTACTTCGAATGCTACGGAAGAGCATTTATTTAAAGGGAGACGTAAGATGCAGGCGGTGAATCATTTTGGTCCACTGGATCGGGCGTGTTTACGTTGCACTCAACGCATAGAGTGGGTGTTTCGATGTTGCGGGGGTCGCTGAAAAATAGGAAATCTCTGTTTTTTCTTCACGTGTTGACGCCTCGCAAAACGTTAGAAAACATTCAACGTTTCTTCGCGCAACGGAGACGCCGTGACAACGGTAGTAACATATCGCATACCTTTAATTCGTTATGTACAACTTACAATTGTTTCTTTTTTTTTGTTTATTTTTAATGCTGTTACAATTATCTTATCATGATAATAAACTCAATCTCCATTGATAATCCGTAACTTCGTTCATATCAAATGTACTGCGTTAAATGTATATTATATATGTACAAGCTCCTCAGTCTTGTGCGAAGTGTAAGATGATTTTAGGTTCCCAGCACTTCCGCTTCGGTGGTACACTAAGTATTACGAATTTATTTACCAAATAATTTTATTTTTTTCCTTTCGTTTCTTTTACTTCCTTTACACGCGATATATGCGAGAGAAAGTGTACGCGTTAGCGTCGTATATCGAGTAAACGAATCGAAGATGGTTCTTTTCAACGGCCAACATCTTATGTTTCTGTATTGTACGATCCGGCGTAATAAATAATTGATACAACATTGTTGATTCGCTTAATGTAAAAAGATTACAACTTAGGAGCTTATCGCCCGTATCTGGCAGTTTTTTGTGAACTTCCTTATTGTTCAACGTCGTTTCGCAGCTGTTCTATTCAAAGAAAAGAATAACCAAAGAATCTAACCGATAGGTATAACCGGTACTCGTTAGATATTTTCATTAACGATAAGTATCTTTTATGACTTTAGAGTGGGTGATTTTCTTATCGTACCAATTACCGGTGATATCTCTAACATCTAAATCAATGATTTATATCGTACAAAGTCTTGTGCAACATAGAGTAAATGGAGCTGTTGGTCGCCGTGATACGCGGACAGTATAGATCGGATCAGCGTATCAGTGTAAGGCAATATAGGGTGTCCTAAAAATGTTGTAACACCTTGAAAGAGGTGGTTCGGGAAGTGATTTGATACAACTTTTTCCTTAGCGAAAATGTTGTCCGAGGTTGCGTTAAGGAGATATTAAGCGAAAACACTGACCATTCAGAGCCCTTGTATGCCGATGGAGCGCTCGCGGTAGCGTATGACCGCCTATCGCGTAGTCTATGCCTACCGTAGGCGGTCCACCGGCATACTCGCGCTCTGATTGGTCGAAGCTGCCGTTTAGGGCGTAGCCTACGTTACCGCGGGCGCTCTGATTGGTCGGGGTTTTCGGTTAATATCTCCTCAACAAAGCCTCGGACAACATTTTCGCTAAGGAAAAAGTTGTTTCAAATCACATCCCGAATCACCTCTTTCAACATGTTACAACATTTTTGGGACACCCTGTATATCGCAAACGAGGGAAAGAAATCGTTCTGTTTGAATTCTATTCGTTTTTCTTTTAGAAATTAATTGTATTAAAATAGGATTGATAATTAATAAATGATGTTCATTTTTTTAAACATATGTTTCTATGACTCTCAATTGTACCAGATGTCAACCAGATACATTCCGTGGGACATTTACGTTCCACTAGGGTCGAAGGGTTAAGATATTAAACGATATCATTTCGCGATGCACCGAGATCCCTATATCGTATGTTTCGTGTTTACACTGAAAAGAAGCTCTAATGTTAATGTTATGATCCTCCCCCCAAAAATGAGTATTATTGTACAAAATGAGAATTGTTCGTACGCCGTTACGCATGCGCACAATCCGCATGATTGAATGTAAAGTACGAGGTACAACGTCGATCCTTCACTTGGCGGTCGCCCAGACTTTTCGTATATCTTCCGTACAGAAAGCATTTCTCGGCTGTCTCTATCATACTATACAATACGCTCTGCAAGCATCTTACGTGTCCTCAACGAAACGGGGCTACAAACTTGTCGATGATGTGATTTGCCAAATAAAGGATTGAACATGGTTCGTTGTAAACAATGACGAACGTGCTTCATGCCTCAACTCTTGATATAGATGGCAGCTACGAGATAATTCGGTACATGTTTATTTTATTTTGGCTGTGAATTAATGTTCAGTTCTCTAAAACATATTGATCTTTTTTATTCTTTTATTACTCGTAGATGACATTCAGTTACGAGTCGGTGGCTACGAATGGTGCTCAAAATTGACAAACAACATGTCAACTGCCGCATTTTTTTAAATAAAATAATCCTCAATTCAACTCTTGATACAGATTGGCAGCTACGAGATAATTCGTTACATATTGCTAACGAACAAAATAAAGTCGGTAACGCAACTCTGACGACGAAATCCTTTCTCTGACAATGAGTGCAAGATTCAACCACCAACTGAGTGGTAGATCGGATCGCTGCGAATCAGGATTCTATCTATCGTTTGCTCTAACAATTGAGCTGTTCAGGCCGTTTAGGGTTCCTAGTAGCTGGACCTAACGTACAAAAATGCCTGCTGCTAACAAAACTCACGGGGTTGTTCTCGCTGGCTGATCCTCGAACATCTTTGACGGATTGTTTGTGACAATCAACGCGTCAATGAAGATCTTTGTCAGAGATGGGCAGAGTAACAGTTGATACATAAAAAACTCTGTATAGCGACTTATGAGAAACGTTTAGATTGAACAGTTACCTCGATAAGCTTGCTTGATTGCTGGATAATTAGTCTCACTAATATTGTATATTAATAAGAGAGTTAAATTAATTAAAAGTTACTAATTGCAGAAAGGAAAATTCGTTGAACGTGTACAATTCAGATTGTAATTTGTATTGACCGAATAACGAATCTAAAATTGTTATTGGAGACTGTTTATCTATTAGGTGAACCGGAAAATAATGTCGTTTTTGCAATTTTAAATACTTGTTTATCATTCATCAGCTCATTGATTTTTATCGATCTAGCATTGACAATCTGCACACTAGATGGCAAAAGGCTATTGATAACGGGAGCGATTATATGATTAATAATTAAAAATAGAAATTTATACAAAATTTGTTTGAATTTAATGTAAAAGAAACGACATTACTTTCCAGTCCACCTAATAGGTGCCCATCTCTGATTTGGAGAATGATCTCCGTGTAGTGCCGCACAGTTGAAGAACGGCGAGGTCGGATGACTCGTTCCATGTGCCTTTATCGATTAATTCTACCGAGTGTACGCCATACGCCTACGTCAACGCGATTCCAGCTACTCTCTAAACTAATGTTAATTAGGGCTACGATACTATATACAGAAAACGCATTGCATTGGCACAGTAAATATCTAGCGCCCGGACTGCCATATGTCGTTTCGCCGCACCGCGTGCAACATTTACGCACTACCGGTGATCGCATGCTTTTATCGCGCTCTTCCGATCGCTAACTCGCGAACAGAGATAGGCATTTGATATACAGGGTGTCCCAAAAATATTGTAATACCTTGAAAGGAGTGGTTCGGGAGATGATTTGAAACAACTTTTTCCTTAGCGAAAACATTGTCCGAGGCTTCGTTGAGCCTCGGGCTACATGCTAGACAGTTGCAGTAGAATAGGCTACGGGACAGACAGCCGGAGTAGCATAGGCTACGCGATAGACAGCCGCAGTAGCGTAGTCTACACGCTAGGCTCGTCATCTGATTGATCGGGATTATCTATTAATATCTCCTCAACGAAGCCTCGGACAACATTTTCGCTAAGGAAAAAGTTGTTGTTTCAAATCACCTCCCGAACCACCCCTTTCAAGGTGTTACAACATTTTTGGGACACCCTGTAATTCAAAAGAATCTCCAACTATACGTGTTCGCGTGCTTTCAATCTCTAAACAAAGAAATATTTAATCCACTTCATAATCTAATGCTGATCTCTGGCATTACGTAACACCGAATCGAAAA